TCATGCATGGCTAGGAGAGGCTAAAATGCTCAAAAGAGGCCAAAAGAATGACTTAACGAATGCATGAAGCCCTTAAGACCATAAAGTTGGCACATTTATGACAAAAGAGCTCATGAAGATCATAGATCTGAAAGAATAAATACTTGGGACTTCTACGTCCCCAACAACCACCCATCCACGGCTAAAAGCATACAATCTAACCCAAGAAGAGATCTAAGAAAATATTAAGTAAGGTTAGAACTTTACACCCAAATGTGCTGGAAATGGAGCAGAGAATCAAGATCTGGAAGCTCCTACTTGAACCACCACCTTGCACCGAGTTGCTCTTCCTTCAATGAGCTTCAAACACACCAAAACACACCTACAATGAGCTCACAACACTCAAGGAGGCTCTAGGGTTTTGAGATTAGGATTAGAGCTATGTGTCACACCCCCAAACCAAGGATGGCGGAAACGTCTGGGGGTGGAGGACTTCATGTACAGTATCACAACAACGTGTATAATAGTGCTCAAAGTAAAAACAACCACCATATATATAATTGCAAAAGTTACACCAAAGTATATGTTTACATGTTTCAAAAGCAATTACATTATGATGACAAAATAATTTGTTGACGGTTTAGCGTCCCATCCTCAAAGCGATGAAGTTTTCCTGTTTCACTGATTTCCTGAGAATACAAGTAGTTTTAAAGAGTGTCAACACAAAGGTTGGTGAGTTCATAAGAGTTTTGTTTGAAGTAGAAACCGTTTTTCCTTGTAAAATCGATTTAGTTTGATTTCCAGAAAATCCAATATTTTCTTAGTTAAGTATGAATAGAAATAATCCTACATGATGCTGTAATGAACCCTAGAGTAATCCGTAGAGTTCCTCTATAATCGTCCAACATATAAAGTTATATAAGGCTTAACTTAGATAAAACGTTGAATATAGTGGGTCTGCCCTAGGTCCACAACCCAACGAGGAACAGGAGATGAGGCGGGCACCACCAATTCTAGGCCAATCAAGACTAAATTCTTATATGACTCAACATATACGCTCGGCGACTATAGTTGAAGTCTAACAATTTTAGAGGAAGTGTAGTTTTAATATCATAATAGCTTTGTATAGAGACCCGGCACTTTGTATTTGTACCCCTTTTTGTATAGAGACCCGGTACTTTGTATTTGTACCCATAGAGATAAAAGGTGATTTTAAATCGACATAAAACTCATTTAGGTTTTAAAAATAAAATCCCGTAAACTTATGGATTGTTCCCTATGTGAGCCGTTATAATCATACTATGACTATGTGAACCTGCCACGACGTTCTCAGTGTCGCGAAAAATGAAATGACATTTGTCACCCGTAGACCTGCAGGTCCAACTGTAGCTAGCAGCAAGGTGTGGGGTGTCAATCCCAATATAGATCTATATACAAGTATCACGTTCTCCCTCAAGGAGATTCTGATTATAACTACCAGGAATTATATCCCGCACTCGGACGTACGGGGAGAGAGAGAGAGAGAAAAATAGAGAAACTCACAATATAGGATAACAAGTTTACGTGAAATGTGTGTGAATATAAATATTTCTTGTATGAATGTACCCTTCTTGTACGAGTGCGTAGAGTGATGTATCATAAACTATACCTATTATAGTTTATCTAAAATGTATGTACTATGTATGAACTCCTTTATGGAAAAGTATTAGTGTTGTGAATTTATTGAACCATAGCTTAATAAATTTACGTGAAATGTGTGCGAATAGAAATCTTTCTTGTATGAATGTACCATTCTTGTACGAGTGCGTAGAGTGATGTATCATAAACTATACCTATTATAGTTTATCTAAAATGTATGTACTATGTATGAACTCTTTTATGGAAAAGTATTAGTGTTGTGAATTTATTGACTATACTTTTTATAGTTTAATAGCACGTGTTCCAAAATGAATGAATAATATTTAATATGAATGTTTTAGTTTCAGTTCATAATGATAAACTAGCAAGGAAACACATTCAAATATTAGAACTTATGATTATACACTTTGCTCAACATAATACAAAGTGTTATGATATTTACATGCTGTTGGCAAAATTTAGCAATTCTGCCCTGTTTTGGAAAAATCATAGAAAAATCATACGAAGTCGAAAACTAGATCCGTAATTTCTGAGAGTTCACAAAATGTGTCTAGTTTGCTCATAATTTTTATCACAATTTATAATGACCTCTAACTTGGGTGAATAAGTCCATAATCACAGACTGGTCCGGATTGTTGTTTGAAATGATAGGCAGTTTTGTAAAAATCACCATAAATTGTAGAAAAATCGTATGGAGATGTGCAAGTAGCCATTTTAAAGCTAAAAACTTGAACTATTTTCACCTTGTACAGTTTTGAAAACAAAAGTGTTTAAGATGCCCAAAACAGTCCGTGAATGGAGTTGAACTTTTCTGATGAAGGCTGTTAGAAAAATTTAGATATGTTCTTAGTGTTTTAACTTGTATTCCCCCCCTGAAAACTTGAGAAAACATGAAAATGTAGGGGTATGAACTCACCTTAAGTGATTCCAGTAGGTAAGTGTTGAAGAAGGAAAGTGTTCAACCCAAGAACACTTGAAGAATCACTTGAAGATTCGAAGATCTAACACAATTATGAGAGAGTTTGTCTAAGATATCCATGATTTGAGTGGAAATAAATGAGATAATCATAAAGAGAATGGATTATGCTTACCAAATGTGGAGGAAAAACTCAAGATCAGCCCTTGAATCTCGAATTTCTAGAGAGAGAAAGTGAGAGAGGAAAGAGTTTGATCTTCTTGTGAAATGAGAGCAAATGAGAGAAGTGAGGAGAGAGGATGAATAATCAGCCCTCAAAAACGTGGGGAGGAGGGATAATTGAGTGGAAAAGACATTGATGTGACCTAGGTAAGGTGGAGAGGTGTGGTTAGTCAAAGAGTGGGTGTGGGGTGGTTGCTTGTGACTTTGGATAAGGCAAAGTCAACGCTCCACCTTTAATAATTCATCCATTTGATTTTTATTATTTAAATAATGATTTTCATCAAAATATGTTTAAATTATGAATATTTAGAGTTTATTATGTTAAAATATAATTTCTGGAGAAAATCCCGCTTTAAAATCACGAAAAACGGGCTTAAAATGTTAAAAATATCAAAAATGGGCTAAAAATGACACATGCGAATTTCTGGCCGAGGCTCGGCCTCTTATGCTGAACCGAGAGAGAGAGGGAGGCGGAAACCGAGAGAAGAAGAAGAGAGAAGGAAGGAGCCGAGAGGGGAGAAGGGAGAGGGTAGGAACCGAGAGGTGGGAGGGGACAGAGAGGCGCGCGAGACAGAGAGTGAGAAGGAGAACAGAGAGGCGAAGCGGAGCAGAGAGTGGGACGCGGACAGGGACTGGGACGCGAACAGAGAGCGAGTAGCGAACAGAGAGCGAGACAGCGAACAGAGAGCGAGACAGCGAACAGAGCGTGTAGCGAACAGAGAGCGAGACAGCGAACAGAGCGTGGGACGGACCGAGAGGGACCGACCGCTCGGTTGGTGAATAGTAGCTTCGGTTCTCTTAGCCACCAGAGGCTCGGTTGGTCCTAAGAAGCCTCTCATTCCGGTTTCGGTTCCTAAAGCCTATTTTTCTCGTTTTCGCCCCGTTTTAAGCCGTTTTTGACCCGGTTAAGGGCCGGAATGACCCGACTGATTCCAAAAAGTTACGGGAAACTTTTGAGAGAGATTTGGGAGAGATTTCTCACACTTGGAGAGATTTGGGAGAGATTTGACATTCTTGGAGAGATTTCTCATACAAAGAGATATTTGAGAGAGATTTCACATACTTAGAGGGATTTGGGAGAGATTTGACATTCTTGGAGAGATTTCTCATACAGAGAGATATTTGAGAGAGATTTTACATACTTAGAGGGATTTGGGAGAGATTTGACATTCTTGGAGAGATTTCTCATACAGAGAGATATTTGGGAGAGATTTCACATACGTGGAGAGATTTGGGAGAGATTTGACATTCTTGGAGAGATTTCTCATACAGAGAGATATTTGGGAGAGATTTCACATACGTGGAGAGATTTGGGAGAGATTTGACATTCTTGGAGAGATTTCTCATACAGAGAGATATTTGGGAGAGATTTCACATACGTGGAGAGATTTGGGAGAGATTTGACATTCTTGGAGAGATTTATCATACAAAGAGATATTTGAGAGAGGTTTCACATACTTAGAGGGATTTGGGAGAGATTTGACATTCTTGGAGAGATTTCTCATACAGAGAGATATTTGGGAGAGATTTCACACACTTGGAGCGATTAGGGAGAGATTTGACATAGTCAGAGATAGAGTGAAAACGATTGAGAGGGGATCCATGTGTGACAATTGTGAGTGTCCGGCATCGCAATGCATGGTTCGTAAACCCTGTTAAGCCTTGTTTAAGGATCTTACACACTCCCGATGAGTATGCATCATTGTTTTATCAGTTTGGCTCGCCACGTAGTACAGTTTTTAGGTTAAAGAGATCTAGTTGTACGTACTTTTCGATTCATGTTTTCTTATTAGAGTAGCGACTTGTTTAGTAAATACTGAGCGTAAGTCCAAGCACACACGGGTTAGTGGAGCTGACCGGTTTGACTTGTTGACTTTATTTGACTTTGAATTGACCAGAATATGACGGTTGTCACACTATGGAGGTTGGGAATGAGGCCAACACATGGGACTTAAGGTGTTTAAATAGGGTGCAAAACCCTAAAATTAGGTTTTCCTTCCCGGCTGCCAACTCGCCGAGTTGAGGCACCTCACTCGTCGAGTTGACTTATTAAACTTCGCGACCAAAGCAACTTCGACACGTCGAGTTGAGGCTTCCAACTCGACGAGTCCTCCAAGAAAATGCAAATAATTGGAAATAAATTCATACCAGAAACCAGGTGTTACACGTCCACACAAACAGTCCAAGGGGAGAAGGGCACGATAGCAACAACATTACCACGCCAGAAACATCGACGGTAGTCAACATGTACACCAAGCGAGGTTGGATACCTCTAAGCCTGCCAACATGTCATCACACAATGAAGGACCAGATCATGGAAAAAGAGGAAACAACGGTGCATACACACGAAGTCATGCAACTTGACCAAAAACACAATGGGGAAACCACCAAATTTGAAGCAGCAAGGGTAGGTAACTACCACAGAAAGGAAGACATTGACAGGAGAGCCACCACAACCGTAAGGGTCCACAACTGGCAAAGGCTTCCTCCAAGACGACATCTAGTCAAGAACCTCACAAACAACAAAGGGAATATCGAATCACAAAGGAGCCAAGTGGTCATAATAACACAAACGCGCACGCCGAACAAGGCGAACTCATCCCTGGATGATAAGCAAGCAACCAAAACCGGGGAGTGGAGAAAATTGAAGATCATCCTCCGAAAGACAGCCAATTTAAAAACAACCAATCATGGCCCGCACACGAACACGAACAGTGGAGAGCTCGTGGACACGAGCCCCCAAGGGACACAAACTAAGAAAGACAAAGAAGAAGAATTCACTCTGATGGCCTGGGAGCCCCAGATCCCAAACCAACAGTCTTAGAACGGTGGAAGGGGGAACCCAGGGAAAGGGTCAAGTGATTAAACTCCTAACGGATAATCACGCCCCAACAAGCCAGCCCAGAAGCTACGCGTAGAATAGCATCAACTATCCCACCCCCAATACATATCTAATGATGTAGATATCTCTAAGACACTAGAAAATATGCAATGAAATGCTACAATTTGAAACAGAGGCATATTAACATGCATTTATACAAATGGAAAACAAAGACGGACTGATCATCCACGCCACTTACATGAAATCATTGCAAAAAACACAATCATAGGTCTTAAAGGCTCGCAACCTTTCCCTAATAAAATCCCACTCTGCTAAGGACGGTGAGATAATATTAGGATGTGGGATAGCTAGAGGCTATGAATGATCGTAACCTTCGCTTCGGAACAAAACAATATTTAAGGGTCGAAGCCCCGAGATGACAATCTTGGCATAGCTTAGATAATCAAACTCGGAAACAAATGCCCTAGGAGCCCAAAACTCTGAATAAAAGTCTAAAAGGAAAAAGAGGGGAAGAGAAATGAAGGGCAGTAACCAAAACTGCTAACCCTCGCTTAACAAAGAAAATTGTCTGCCAATCTCTCACCTAATACAAACTTAAACAGGAACAACACAGAATAACATTCCTGGGACTGACCAGGGTCTAGGAAAGAACTCAGCCTCGGGGTGGCCAACATAAACCCCCTAGTAATCAAGCCAAATAAAACACAAGCAAAGTACAAAGCTATGTTTTTTCAGAAAATAAAACAAATTGTCCACCGCACATAACCCAAGCTTAGAAAAAGGCCACGCAGGGCCACCAAAAAACAAATAACAAAGATTGTCAAAGTTGTTCACCAAATAAAAACCATTCAAAAGAAAACATTGTTTGAGTTTCACCAACCAAGGCAATCCACACATAACAAGGGAGATAGTAGAAATCACATACCGGGGGCAGGGGGATGGTCCGATCCCGGAAGTACTTCATTCAGGACATTCTCTTTCAACATCAAGGTCACAGCACATCAGAAGAAGACCTTCCATGTCGAGCTTGCCAAGGTGGAGGTAGGAGGCGAAATTTGTCTCCAAGAAAGATTCCACATCAGTGTGCATGGCTTGGGTATATTCTAGAAGGGCGCTCGACTCACCAGGTGTAAATATCCCTGCAGCAAACTGCTCTCTGATTACCCGCTTGCCACCCTCTACCCTGGTTTCCATACATGCAGACTTCATTTGCTTAATCCTAAGTGTGAACTCAGAGCTCTCAATCAATTTATCCACTACCTGGACAATCCCTTTCTTCAGGAGACAAGCCAAAGCCGCCTCCACGTTCTCCATCTTCACCCTCTCCATCTCCAGCTGCCCACAACACTCCTCAACGCGGCCTTTCAATATACTTTTTCCTCAACCAACGCCTCCATACGCCGAGACAAACGCCCTACAGATTCATCCAGTCTCGCAACATGCTCCTCCAAAGAGGCCTTCTCCCTTGCCAAAAGATCATAATCTATGCATTATTGTTATTAAATTCTTCTTGGTGTATGCTTGATGATCGTATGCTTGAAAATTTGTTAGTTCATAATTAATTCATAATTCAATTCATTTTATTGGTATATATGTCGGACTATATGAAAAGGAGCAAAGGTGATTTTTAATTTATATTTGATTGGTTTCATCATTTTTAGTTGATATATTTAATGACATGCTTGAAAGAATAAAATTTGATCTATTAATAAAATTATTATTGGTCGAATCATAATTTTTGATATCCCTTTAAGCTTATATTTCAAAAATAAACGTATCCTATTAAGCTTATATTTCTTTTACACCCCGTTCCCGAGTTGTAGCAAAGAAAATAAGTGAAGATAAAAGAAAGTAATGAGATAAAAGATGAGAAAAGAAATAAAACAAAATTCGTACTTTGTGTTCCCGAGTTGGAGAGAAGTGGAAGGAAAATTAAACATTTAGTAATTTTTCTCCAAATCGGAAGGAAAGTGATCCTTCCATTTCCTTCCGCTTCCTTCTTTTAATGAAACTCGGAAACATCAATTTCTTTTACTTTTCTCCGACTTCCATTCATTTCCTTTCTTTTCTCTCCTTAAAATGAACACGGGAGCGGAGTGTAAACCGTCCATGTACGATCCATACTAGATCTGACCAACTGCCCATCCTACATCATCTACGTTCTTAACGTTCTTGACAGCCCATCTTTGTCTTAGTGGCATGTTTCGGTTCTCTTCGTCATTACTTAGAAAAAGTGAGCCACCGGTTCAGGTATAGATACTATCATTACCACCTGGACAATTAGACATCCAACCCGTAATCGCAACGACCCAATTGCAAGAGCGGAGCTCTACCAACTGAGTTATATCCCCCCGAGCCAAGTGGAACATGCATGAAGGAGTCAGACGCTTCTTCTATTTGTTTTCCTGGCACAGCTAGACCATCCTGGACTTGAACCAGAGACCTCGCCCGTGAAGTAAATCATCGCACCTATGGTCCAACAAATTGGGAGAGAATCAATAGATTCCTTTTCGGGAGCGATCTTCAAGTCGATGTGCTCTAATTGAGGGGAAACTTATTTGAAGGGGTTTCCGTTTTTTCGCCTTTTATTTCAACAAAAAAAAAAAGGGAGAATGATTGTGGTTTCCGGTTTTCCTGCTTTTGCTTCAACAAAAGAGGGAGAATGATCGTTTGTAAGCCGAAACACCACAATGTTTTATGATCGTCAAGAATAGAGAATGCATGAAATTGTGACTTATATTTAATGTCCATGTCAATTTTGTTTTTATGATAACAATCATTAGACTCAAATCTTGTTATACTGCTGATCATTTTACTTGGTCTTTGATATATTTTAAATACACGAAAATTATGTTAAAAGTTCAACATTCAATTTATCGAACCCTTAATATTTTAACATTATTATCTTGTCTTGAAAATATATGTGTATTGATTTTTAATTGTATATAACAAAGATTATTAATTTTTATATACTTTTTATAATTTTGAACATGTGTTAGAAAAATAAAATAACAAAGTAAATATCATTAAAATGTGAATAGTTGTTTTTGCGTGCCTCTCACACGTGAATTCAACCTATTACTTTTAAGCAATTTTTATTTTATTTTTTAACGCTTAGATTTTTTTTATGAGTTTTCCACTTTAAAAAAAGGTATTTTATCTTTAAAGATTTTACCATACATGATTTTAGGGATGGAAAATATCATAAGTAGCCTCTGATATGATTATATCTTCTGATGTCTTTGAACCACTGGTAACAAGTTGATCTGACCCAATCAAGTATTTCAATCAGCGACTACCAATTACAATTCACATACATATAAGGCTCTTGCTAACGATGAAAGTGTTTGAGTGATCTGAATATAGAGTGAAACAAGTAGAAGGGATTTCTATTTACATTACAATTCACATAAATACTAAACCAATAGTTTTTTACAACTTAACCATCCCCCAACATCAGAGCATATAAACACATTACACAAACCACAAATCCAAGGGAAGGAAATGAGAAAAGAGTACCTTAATATAAGCATCAGGTACAAGTAGTCTCATTGCACGTTAAAAGTACAGCTGCTTACATTGAGCTACTTCCACCTCAGCAGGGCAATAAGGACATTTAAAAGGCCTTGTACTGTTGTTCTTCGATAACTTCGTAATACTCTGTTTGCAAAGCACGTGCCCACATGACATCATCATCGGAGGATTATCTTCTCCGGCCTGCTCTCGGCTCACCGGACATACAAATATCGAGTGAAACTGAAACTCCGTACCCAAATCCACCGGCACCGGCAACTGCTTCATCGATTGCCACTCTTGCTTCTTCCCCGTCATCACATTCATCAGTTTTAATAAAGTCGGCAACCCTTGAACGCCGGCAGCCACCGTCACTTTCAAAGGGCTTTCATACGATTCACCTAACAGATTACAGAACTGGTGAGCGAGTTCGTCGGCCAGTTTCGCCCAGTGAGTTGGGGAAACGAGATCCGAGTACGGCGACGAGTCGATCTTTCCGGCCCATAGAAGACACGCCATGAGCTTTTGGATTTCGTGAAAGTGTTGGGTCGCGAAAGGGGCGAAATGAGTTCTTCCGTATTTCAGAGCTTCATCTCGACTACCATTCTGAAGAATTTCCATGAATTGTAAACGATGGAGTTGTAATTCGATGTCGGATCCGGTTTTTTGGAGCTTGTCGTGGTTAGTCGTGGCCCATTTCAAAGCGGGAGTTAGGTCATGCGACTTCATGGATTCGAGAATTTCATACATTTCTAAGAATTGGGTTTTTTTGTCGACGATGGTTTCTTCTTCGTGAGCTTCGTTTATGAAACAATCGCCGATTTCAAACATGCTTTCACGATATAAGTGACTAGCGATTATTTGGTTGATTATGTGGGTATCGAAATCGACGTTTCTGTAAGACTTTGAAATGTCTGGATAGAATTGTTTCTCGAGGAGTTTAGTGTATTTGCTCATTGCAATGTTGAGTTCCTTTTGTGTAGCTTCGAGGTGATTAAGTGGAGCGATCTCTTTCAATTTGGTTTTTAGTTCACCCAGGATTAACTTGGGTTGAGAGGAAGGGCCATTAATGGCGGATTGTATTCCTGATAATGTTTGTTGAATTTCTTGGGTGATTTGTTCGATTGTGTCCTCGATTTTCGAGGAGGAAAGAGTCTGCTTTTTGATGACAGAATCGAATGCATCTTTGATAGGATTCAGTTCCATAGTTTGGTGCCTATAAAACAAAGATCTTGGAGCTATGAGAACATAAAGTTTAATCTTACTTGAGAATGTCTCTATTGAGTTCGTGTTACCTGATAGTCAATTTGATTGTGGAACAGTGGGAGAGATTTATGTTACAGTCTTGAATGTCTGTAACAATACCCCATAAGCTATCTGACTTTCTGAAAAACCTGAAAAAAAGAGCACCATTAATGACAAACATCTTGAGGTTTCTTCTTTCCAACACAAGCAATAAATGCAACATCTCATTCTTATTAGTATCAGATACCTACTGATATGGTTGAGTAATTTAGTGAAGGGACATTTTGTAATTATGAGAAGGAAAGTTCAGATCGGTAACTAAAGAAATTGCCATTTGGTAAAAGATATTAGAACTTGCGTACAATACTATTAACTATGACATTCTTTTTTAGTGAAGCACAACAAAATTGGGGGAAAAAAGGCAAAAAGTACAGATGATAAAACTTCAAAAAGCCAGAGGAAAGGTTATAAAGAATCTGTAGGAAACCTTATAGGATCATAATTACCACATTAAAATCTAAACAAAGCTTTGGAACAACAAAATTGAAAAACACAACCTAAAATCTAGAAATTAGAAGGTTTGAATTTAAAAAACCAGTTTTCATAACTCAAAAATCCTGATCATATCATATTTAGATATTAGTAACATAAAGAGCTGAATCATTAAACCACTAAACCAGTTTTCATAACTCAAAGATCCTTAGCCAAACCCTCCATGATTGTAATCATCAGACGGATGAATAAATACACAACACTTTCTATATGCAAGTCAACCGACATATCCAAGCAACCAAAGCTTACTGTTTATATCGATCGTCCAACAGATTCATCCATCGATCCAGTCAAATCTGACGATCTATAATCAGCTATCAATTTCGTCAAACAAAATTTTCAGTACATGAATCGAAAAATCTCAAACTGTCGCAATAGATTGGAAAACGAGTGATTAAGACTCCAGATCGACGTAACATAAAGTGATAAAGTAATCATACTGAAAGAAAAAAACACACGAAAACAAGAAAACGATAGATTCCGCCATTAAGTATGGCAATATATGCATGAACCACATGTAAAACATAAAACGATTAACAGGAAGACATGGAGAGGGAGAGAGAGTACCTTACCAGTTACCAGGGGGAGAGGGGCGGAGAAGGGAGTTCCGCACCAGAGATTTGTGTGTAAAATTGAAGAAGTTTGAGAAGTGTACGCTTTATGATGGGAGATTTTGTTCAATTTACTTAGATGCCCTTTTATTTCCTTAATTTTCCAATTCTTCCCCGTAATATTAAATTTCCTCAACTTTTCAGGTCAATTAATTTATTTTCAAATGTGGACGACTTAAACCTTAAAGCGACATCGTTTCTGTCTCAGAAAATAAACATAATGGCTTATCAATTCTCATGATTCATGAGATCAATGTGTTTAGTTGAGATATGTATGCCTAAACTGAACGGATTTTGTGTTTGGATATGTTTGTTTATGTTTAATAAAGTGATAATCTTAAAAATGACTAACCCAAATGACCATAATGTTCAAAGAATTACATTTTAGACTAAAATAAACTTTATCAATCAAAAGTAAAACCGATCACATCCAAATTTTCAAAAATAAAATAAAAAAACGTGTCTTCGTTAATTGAAATGTAACTAAAAAAAGTAAGTTATGAAACAAGGTATAAAAAGTTGTTATATTGTTGAAAATTGGTGGTGATACTAAACCTTGTGGATTTAATGTGCTATAGAAAATTTTTGATAAGTACAAAATAAAAGAAAAAGAATACATCCCAATTTTAAAATTGTTGGTCATTTGGAAAAATGGATAAAACTTGGATCATTTACATCAATTTTTCCTAATCATTTGGTTGGTTTGTGATTATCCCTTTAATAAATCAACATAATTATGTCATAGACGATAAAACTGTATTTAAAGCTAGTTTGAAATAATAATAAGTTGACTCTAATGATGATTACAACAAGCTTTTTTATGTGTAATGTCCAGCAAACTCGACCACTTAAAAAATAAAAATAATAACGAAAGCAAATATAAGCCAAAAATGAAACTTCGTTTGAAGTTATTATTTATTTCATATTGAAGCGTATCACGTCATCATCAATGTTATTACCTTTTCACATTCCATAAAATCATCAACAAAGATTGTTGATTAAATTTCAACATAAAATGTCATGTCAACTGGACAACATCACCACTTTACTTTAATTTCTATGTTTCCTTTAAAGAAAAAAAGCTTTGCACTCCATGTGCTACGATTCATTATTCATGCCCAAAATCGCTAAAAGCTAAACCAGTCCTTTTCTAAAGCTCTCTATCATGTCAATATCATCAAGATTAAGTAACTAAAACATTAACAAGGTAAACTATGTATTTTCACCCAAATGGCAAAACATAAAACCATATGCAAATTTTGTTTCATACCAAACTAACCTCACAATTCACAAATGGAATCTTGTTCCATTCCAACATTAGAAGCATATGCAAAATTTTGCTTACAAATAAAGAATGTTAGTATAAGATATTTTGCTTGAAGAACCTCACCAGTCACCATAACTATATTCTCTTGAATTAAGTGAACCAAAAGTAACTCCATATTGCTTTGTGTTGATAGACTCATAAAACTTTTCTTCCCCATAAATTCGCCTAAAATTACCAATTATAAACTACCATTTATGTAGCGTTCACATTTGAGTAGTTTATGTCTTTATGATCAATAATCTCCTCTCCATATGTAATGTCTGCACCATATTGAGTAGCCAGTAATCTGAATGGTAATGTCCCCTGAAACAAGAACAAAGTTGTGTAAGTACTCGACCTCTAATAAGTCTTCAACATGAACGTAAAAGCAATTTGATCTTTAGCACAACCTGGTGCTTTTCAAATGTGAAATCGATATAATTAAATGGTTGAAATTCAACACCGGTAACCTCTCACTTCTAATGCTTGTTATAATGTTCAGTTCCCTTAGGTTAATTTTTCTCAAAAGATTAAAAACTCAACTAGAATGACAACCGATGTTATAGTTTTGATTGAACCTCGGAAATGATGATTTTTTTTCAATCCTTTAACAGCTTGGAACCCACAGTTGAAGAACAATATCAACTGTGAAATCTGGAAAAGTATTTGATACAGTTTAAGAGGCGAAAATATAAAAGGACGTATCATGTAAAATGAACAACAGTAGAGTTGAAAGAGAGGACTTACAACTCGAACCATTGGAGCAAGAACAAGTTTATTCCTGTATTCCATCTTCTTCGTAGAATCGCACCGTCGCCACTCGATTGGTCGGAGTCAAAGACAAGATTATGATCAGAGTCCGCCGGGTCAAAAGTGCTGACCGATTTCATGGGTGCATTTGTGCATCATCATATGATTTATCATGTATGGAATAAATTGGGCCCAATAGGGGGTTGGATAATGGAGCTTTGAATGTTCACTACAGGTTTGAAGGAGCTTTGAAACTGCCTGGTCAATCTTTGATTGAAACCCCAAAATTGCACAAGTGTTATCCTTTTTAAATTTTCAGTTTTGTTCTAATATTATATAATAACATTAAAATCTTTTTGTAGTCATCTCATTAGGTCCATAGTTATAGTGATTAATAGAAGGGGAATAAGACTAATTAAGGTAATTAAGTTTTCGGTTTGTTCACATGTAGGTAATTATTTTTTTTTTGTACACATCTAGGTAACAAATTTTTTAAAACTGTTCACATATGATCATTATGACCTGCTGTAGCAGGTTACATCTGGCTACAGTAGGTCATAATGGTTAAATGTGAACATTTTCAACAACTTCGTTACCTAGATGTGTACAAAAGAAAAATAGTTACTCAAATATGAACAAAACCAAAAGTAAGAGTAAATTACACGAATGGTCCCTGTGGTTTGGGGGAATTTATGCGTTTGATCCCTAACTTATTTTTTTAATCCGGATGGTCCCTACTGTTTTGTTTTGTTGCATTTGGTCCATGTCTTACCTAAAAATATTAGTGTGTCCTTATTAATTTAATTTTTTTTAATTATTTTTATTTATTTATGTATTTTTGTTATATGTTTAAAAAAACTAATAAACCTCACATATATGTATCTCCTTACCATCCCATCTTTCATCATCTTCAACTTCTATTTCTTTCCATCTTTAATGACAACGAAGTCTTAACCATCTATTCTTTTTCGGTCCTTCAACTCCAGCGAACCAACACCACAACCCAATAAAGTGAAGAGACAGTAAGTTATGGTGTTTGGTCGCCAGAGTTGAAGGACCAAAAAAAAAGAATGGTAAAGACTTCCATGTCACTAAAGATTGAAAGAAAATAGAGGTTGAATAGGATGCGAGATGGGATGGTGACCGGTGGGACCCAAATTAAATTTCTCAAATGTGGTTTCAGGTTTATGGTGAAGAGATACAAATATGTAAGGTCTATTAATTTTTTTAAACATTTTTAAAAAAACATAAATAAGAAAATTAATTAAAAAAATAAATTAATAAGAGCATAATAGTCTTTTTAGGTAAGACATGGACTAAACGTGCAACAAAAATAAACAGTAAGGACCATCCGAGTTAAAAAAAATAAGTTAAGGACCAAATGCAAAAATTCCCCCAAACCATAAGGACCATTCACGTAATTTACTCTTACTTTTGGTTTTGTTCATATTTAGGTAACTATATTTTTTGTACAAATCTAGGTAACGAACTTGATGAAACTGTTCACATATAACCATTATGACCTGTTGTAGCTGAATGTAACCTGCTACAGCAGGTCATAATGATCATATGTGAACAGTTCCAAAAAATTTCTTACCTAGATGTGTACAAAAAAAAAGATAGTTACCTATATGTGAACAACTCGAAAAGTTAATTACCTTAACAAGTCTTATTCCATTAATAGAAGTGATAAAAGAATGTTTAGTTCGGTAGCTGAAAAGTTAGTTTTTAACTTATAAACCAACTTATTAATAAGCTATCTCATTTTTTTTTATCAAAAGCTAGTTTATAAGAACATCTACAGCTTTTTACTTTTGACACGTCTACTTTTCATTTATAATTTATAAATAATAAAAACATGTCGTCAAAAACTCACTCCAATGGCCCCAAAACCTTTTAACAAATTGACGGATTCATTTTTTGTTTTGTTAAAAAGCTTTGGGAGGTTATAAAGATTGATGCTCGCCTTTGTTGAGGAATTTTATGTTAAGAGCTGTATCCCAACCAGTTTTGCAATCCAACTAAAAATCATCCATGAAAGTAATTAAACGTGTATACCCACAATAATAATGACATAACGTGAAATAAAACAAAAGAAAGAATGCAATGCATTGTTATCCTAAGAGTTACAAAATGATTTAATCCTGTATAAAAAACATGTAATGTAAAATTTGAATGTAATATCAAGACAATGACATATCTAGCATGGATTTTTAGTTCTATTCGTCAATCAGAATAGTTGATTGGTTACAGACACCCGCATCATTCAAAGATTCCATGTCATCATCAAGCAAAATAGGCATCGGGGAGCCCTACAAATTAGATCAGCACAGCATATTTAGCCATACAACCAGATAAGCAGAATTTGTAGAAAAGATGAAATTCTGACATGAATGCTTATTTAGTCAAAGAAAAACAAACCTCTTCTTGCAGATAAAATTTTGGCTTGATATATTTCAGTTTAAAGAAGGTCTCGCAGAGAGTCTTGAGCTTTCCAACCTTAAAAAAGGAATTGACATTATGAGTAAAGGGCATTTTACAATATGGGTGATGTAAGCACATTGTTTCTTTTTATTTATTATGGATAAAAAAAAAAAAATTTAAGGTGCAATGGCCATAATTATATTGGTGTAAAGAGTAAAATAGGTTGCTATTTCTCATTCTCAGAAACAGAAAAATGAATAATAGTTACAGTGGTGGTTGCTGGCAGTTTTTTTGTTAAAGGAGGCTTTTCAGCAATTGATGGTCCAACACACTTGAGAGTAATAGCTGCAAACCAAAGAGAGTAATATATCATTTCAAGAAAAGAAGAAAATAATAAAATTTAGTCAATAAATAAATTAGATTGATACCAATAAGTCCAGAAGACATTTTTTGAGGCCCTGTTGGACCATTTGAAGGTCTCTCATCCTCGATTCCATGAAATGCTTTAAGCTCAGTGAATCTGACATCATCAAGTTCAAAAAAAAAAAAAAAAAATTGAATATTTCATTTCAACAATAATATATAAAACTTCCTTTTTTGGTCAATTTTTTTATAATCAGAATTTTCCAAACACTATCTTTTACATCATGTTTTGTTTTATAACAACTGATTTTAAACTAGCAAAATTCAGTTTTAATATTATAACTCAAACGAATACCACATTTCATACAACATAGACTAAAACATATAGAGGATCCAGGGACTGATAGTTTTCAACCATTTTTTCGAATAATTATTTCAGAAACCAAAATAAATAAATAATTAAAAGACACAAGGAAAGGATGCTGGTAGAAAATAAAATAACCTTGGGTGAAGAGCCTTCATCTCTTCCAAATTTTGATGCACCTTTGACATTACAAGGCGTACATACCTGAAAAAAAGAATATTATTTTTTGTGTTTTGTTATTATTAGAAAACACAACATTTGCATTAAAATCATACCGAATCTCAGACTCTTTGCGCTCTCGAGGGGTAATCTGATAAATCACAATAAGATGAGATTGATGCTTTTAGGTCATATTATATAAATGTAAAAAAAAAAAAGAAAAAAATAACAATGTAATGAATTTATTACCTCACTCCCATTTAATATGTTTACTTTGGCCAAACGAGCAATCAAAACAAATCTTGCAAGCCCACCTCTGCTTGGATCAGTTACTGGATTGTCAGAGCACCGAATATCCTGCATTGCATTTACAAACTTGTTACAAATTTAATATTTATAGAAAGAATTACACCAAAATACCATAAGTATGCATTTAATGTTAAGAAATACATTTTCGGTTACAAATTTGTTACACAGTATTACATAAGCTTACCTACCATTAAGCCAGGATAAGAGTTTAGGGCATCAATGGAAGATGCCTCCTGGATTTTATTGCCTCCTGGACATGAACCATAAATTTTCAATAACTTGGAACTGTTTAAGTAAGATAATATAATCCCAAATAAAAAAAAAAAAAAAAAATGTAATGAATTACCAATAAGTAGGCAATGCAAATTTTGGAAAGGCTTATTAGGTTCATCTGTAGCTGAGGGGTACCAAATGCGCTCTATGTTATTCTTATTCAACTGAAGTTGCTCCAAACTGAATACAATTTCAAAAAAAAACATTCAGTTGCTTAAATTCATTCGATAAAATGGTGAAAGTACAAATGAATTATAAATTTATAACCTTTTTTATCCAAAATATATAACCAGGAAAAATGATTTCTTTGTATAAAGGTTTAATCATGAAGGGACTAGACCAATAAAGTGAATGGTGAAAGTAAAGTATGTTGTATTTTGCCCCTAAGAAGCAAGAAGATACCATTTGAGTTGGGAAAGCTTCAGTATTTCACCCCAATCAGCTATATGGTTATCTTCCAAGTTAAGAAGCCTCAAAGAATCAAACCCTTTTACAATATTCGATGATGTAGGCTGCCCAAAACAACATCAACATAAACATGGTAAAACAACAAACATACAAGTGACATTATATGCAAAATCAACATGATAAATTACAGACCGTTATTTCCCTCAACTTATTTCTCATTAGATGCAGCTCTTCAATCACTTGGAGTGAATCTTTAAGCACTTCAATCTGCAAATGCAAATCAACTAGACTTCATTTCATTGCCATTCACCCTTTTAAACTAATCAATTGGAAAGAAGAAAAAGGTTGCTTGCTTGCCTGAGACCAATTTATGGTAGTATTATTTAAAACTAAAATCCGAAGACTCTTTAGGTGAGAGATTGCAATTACATCATGTGACATTACATTGTTAGTCAAATTCAGTCCTGTAAGGCCTGGCAACCCACTGCAGATGCCATCAACATCCTGCAATACGAAGTTACAAACATAAACATACTCAACTTTGCAGCTTTACTTTCACAAATGTTTTCATAAAGGGTTAATCTACTTTATGCTCATTTCTGTTTTAGGCACCCTTGTTTCTGGTTTTTCGAAAAATGGCCAAAAAGTATGTCTCGCTTTATACTGAAAAGAGCCCTTTCAGAAATGGCATGCACGTGTGAATGCAAATATTCCTGAAATTTTAGTTATAATAGAATCTTCAATATGCCTCTGACATAATTACAACAAAGGCTAATACCATAATCTAGCATTCTTCCTAAACAACATGGGAATATAAATTTGTAAGTAGAAGAGCATACTTGCCAATCAGAAAGCAGATTTCCAGTTAAATCAAGCTCCTTTAGATCTGCAGTAACGGACAAAGTTGTAATGGCACAAAACTAGGTGCAATTATCCATAGGAAAATGGTAAAAATACAAGAAAAGTCGCAACAAAGATGGAGAAAAGAAGGTCAGACTTACTTGGTAGAGTGTTCCTGATTTGAAGAGGATCTCCAGATGAGCTAACCCCTAAATACGATAATGATGCACCAGGCAACTCCTCAAATCGGCCCAGTATGTCTTGAATCTTTTCTTTACCTAACAGCTGAACATTGACTCGTTTGTTGGTGGCAGAAAAGACGTACATTTCATCTGTGAATATGAAGAATAACAAACAGTCAAGTCATGACACATCGCCTTAGGAGTTGTGAATTGCATACCTTCTTCTTCTTTAGTAGAAGTGGTTCGGTATCGAATTTCTAGGGCCTGCAATAGCGAAACACCGGTGCTCAAATTGTGTGGGCGAGCGAAGGAAGCTGACTTGGGGAACTGAGCAATGAAGTAACGCACACCATTGACTGACCCGTCATGTTTGCCCCCGTCACGATTGTCCCAGTCGATCCCGATCCAGTCGCCGGAATAGCCTTCGACTGGTCCCACATACTTTACAGTGCCGATTCGCTGCGAGTCTCCAGCCCAATGGACTCGCTGCCCGATTTTGAACTCGCGTTGTTGGGTTGGTTTTTCCATGTCTCGTAAGTTTTGTAATTCGGATGCACAGAATCGATGTTTCTCTGACCGATTTACTGATCGTGCGTCTTTTCAGGTTGCTGATTAGACTACTTGGTATAGGACATAAATCTGGAAAGTAGAAGGTTTGAATTTCAAAAACCAGTTTTCATAACTTATATGAGATAATGAGATATTAGTAACATAAGTGAGCTGAATTAGCTTACAAATATACCAGTAAATTAAAATAAAATCGTTAGCCAAATCCTCTCTGACACAACACTTTCTAACAAATTTTGCAGAAAACGAGTCGAGAAATCATAAACTGTCACAATAGATTGGAAAACGAATGATTAAGACGCCAGATCCACGTAATATAAAGTGGTAAAGTTAATCATACTGAAAACGAAAAACACGAAAACATAAAAACCATAGATTCCGCCATTAAGTATGGGAATATATGAATGAATCACATGTGAAACATAGAACGATTAACAGGAAGACATTAAGACTGAAGAGGGAGAGAGAGTACCTTACCAGTTACCAGGAGGAGAGGGGCGGTGAAGGGAGTTTCGCACCAGAGATTTGTGTGTAAAATTCAAGAAGTTTGAGAATGAGAGATTTTGCTCAATTTACTTAGATGACCCTTTCATTTCTTTAATTTTCTAATTCTTCCCCTTTAGTTATTTTTTTTTTGGTAAATTACACCAGTCGTCCCCCATGTAGGTGTCAGAAATCACGTTTAGTCCATATTTTCAAAAATTAACTCGGATCATCCCTCGTTTGGCTAAAAGTTGCACGTTTTATCCATCGTAAGTTTAAATTTGCAAGCTTCATCCCTTACGAATCATAAAATAACTATTATACCTTTTTGTATTTCTTTTCCAATTAATATAAATGTTTCCAATTACTATAAATGTTAAAATAATTATTATTAATTTAAAGAAAATAAACCCAACATCCCTACCACCCTACCCCCCACCTTCCTTTTTCTCATCTCTCTTCCTACCTTTTCTGTTAACTCTTGAAAAACCAATGATCCACCACTTCCGCCCAACCATTATCGGAGCACACCCTTAAAGTCAAAATCCGACCACCTTTTTTTTTTTTTGTAGCCTCCTCTATTCATAGAACCATTAACCATTTTTTCCTGAACACCGCCTTCACCATGAACCACTTCACCGGGAACACCGATCGCCCATCACGAAACCCGACCTCCACACCGCTGGTTTCTAACCTCTATACAACCATTGTTGCCACAACCCTCGAAAAACTGTTGCCTTCAAACGCCACCACCTAACAATCAAACCTGATGTTGAATACCAACAACTATTTCTGAAACTTACCTTCACCAAAACTACCTAGAACTGCCATGAAATCAGGCACTGAAAACCATCTCAAACACCTCTTGGAATGTGGTCCCCTCTCCGTCTCCTTCGTCGATGGAGAAGATTTGGGTTCGATCTAAGTTTGCTTCTCCAATCTGAGTCTCCCTCTTCTCCGATTTACAAGTTTAGGGTTCATTTTTTGAGATTTGAATGATGATCGTGGTGGTTACAAAAGGTACTGGCGGTGATAGGTGGAGGTATCGGAGATTAGAAAGAGAATAGTGAAGAGATAGAGAGAGGGAGAGGGAGAGAGAGAGAGAGAGAGAGAGAGAGAGAGAGAGAGCAGTCTGTGAGAGAGAAAGAGAGTGGCAGAGATGATCAATCGAAGTCAAAGAAGAAAAAGAAAGGAATTTGGGGAAAGGGGAGGAGTGGCTTGGTGGAGTTGGCCGAAGATGTCGTCGAAGTATTGGAGTCGGTCGAAGGTATCATCTGTGACATCCCCAAAATCTCGGCCAGAAAAGACCGATTTCATTTATGCTTTTTAAAATAAATTTCAGAGTAAATCCTTTTAATTTTAAAAGAGATGCGGAATTTGTTCCCAAAAACAAAACATGATAAAATAGATATTTATCAAAACATTTCATAAAGAAATATGATTTCATTTCATAATCAAAAGACGGGATGTCATGTTCCGATACAGATCATAAAGCATAAACGATAGCATTACAAGTCATTCAACAAATATATACATATACAGACTTGTAAACAAAACAATTGATGTTCGCCCATCTTAAGCTCTTGCGCCACTTCCTGTAAAATAAATCAACTGAGTGGGTCAGGCTTGGGAGCCTGGTGAGCATATAGGGTTTTCAACCCACAATAATTATATTTAATTTCAACAATCAACAATAAACCCGATTACCCATTCCCGTTATCCTCACCTTACGTTCCTAAAAATAACGTCTATTATAAGGAACCTATTTCAGGATTTTTCATCGGGACGGACATTACTGCAGAGGGGCTTCCTCAACAATAAGTGTCCTAAAGGCAACCATGTGGGGGATAGAGTACACCGGTGAACACGTCGTTCACAACACCTACAGGTAATGAGCCTGCTAGTGTTCCACAGGACAGTCTAGAATAGTCCGTGGTCGTCATCCATACTCTGCTGAATGACTAGAATAACACCAATAACACCGAGGCCTCTCATCTGTTTATTACACACCAATTATCTACCCATGTTCTACCCAACATATTAGTAGATAAAAATATACATTTTTATACATAGTTTAAAAACCTGTATAACATGCTTTAAGCAATACATATTCCACATAACAGATGAGGCATACACACATAACACGTATTTCATAGAGAATACATCAGATCTATAAGATAGAAGAGAGTGAATATACACTCACACGTATAACAACCAAATATATACACATAACACGTATTTTATAGAAATACTTCATAATATTGCGTTGGAATGAAAATAACTACACACTCACTTGATCAAAGATGATCGGGCAGCACTACGGCTTGCAGAAGAGGTGTTTCTCCGTAGATCTGGAAGATCTTCACAAAACCGGGCTCCTCGCGGGCAGCGTTTCGGCTCGGGAATAACGCTCTTCGGGATCCTCGGGGCTTCGGATCTTACTTCGGGGCTCGGGAATATTACCGGGGCTTTGGGGTATAAACGGCACGCAAAACGAGGCAAAACTTAGAGAGAGGGAAGAGTTTGAACAAGAGAAAATGGCTGAATTCGAGTTCTATTTATAGGCTGCTGGGTCTGGGATTACGCGGGGAGTACTCAAATTACGCGGGGCGTACTCAGTACGCGGGGCGCACTCGGGTTACACGGGGTACTTTGACATCACTGCGTGCGTCGACTGGTGGCACTCGAGTATTGGTCACACAAGTTGCATCCGACTGAGTACGCGGGGCGTACTCAAATTACGCGGGGCGTAATTGACTTGTCAAACTTCTAAATTGCGTAACTTTCGCATACGAGCTCCGTTTTCGACGTTCTTTATATCCACGCGAAGGTCAGACCATACTCTACAACTTTCATTTAGACTCCGTCGGCTAATTTTGACTTTTATTTTTATTATTTATTTTTAGAAGGCCGGGACAGAAAAACTTCGTTATAAATTCATAACTTCTTCGTCTGACGTCCGTTCTCGCCTAACTTTTCATTGCTTCGCTACTAACAACAAGATCTTCGATTCTCATTTAGATTGTTTCGGCTAAAAACCGCTCGATCTCAAATCGAGTATTCGGGCTGTATACTGCTAAGTCGAAACTTCATAAAATCATAACTTCCTCATACGAAGTCAGATTTGGGCGTTCCTTTTATGCACGCTCTCGGTTTAACGAAATCTACGACTTTCGTTTAGATCGCTAAGGCTAAATATCGCTCTATCTTAAATTCATATTTTACGTCACTCGGCGTCGTGTCGGTTCTGTCGCGAAACTTCGACAGGTCATAACTTCTTCGTTATAACTCGGATTTTGGCATTCCTTATATCTCCGGAATCCTTGTTTCGACCACTACAACTTTATGCAAAGATGTCGGGCTTATCTCACACTTAAATTTTGACGCTTATTTTATTCTTAATTCATTAAATTATAAAAATTAAGAAAATACACACATAAATCACATAATTCAAATAATTCACAAATAATACATTCTTATTATTTCAAGTTGAGTTACAAGGTTAACCTAGACTATTACATTGCTAAAAATGGCAAGCCTAGAAACACGGGCGTTACAATTCTCTCCACCTTAGAATGATTCCGTCCCCGGAATCACACACCAGCAAACAAATGCGGATAGCGACTCATCATGTCACTCTCCGTCTCCCAGGTGAGATTTGGCCCATTCGTGTGTTTCCATCGGACAAGCACTAACTCCACCATCTTACGTCGCAATTTCTTAGTCTTTCGGTCAACAATTGCCTCCGGTTCCTCAATCAACCTTTTGTTCTCATCGATCCTCAACTCTGAAAGTGGAATTATGTCGGGAACTTCTCCCGTGAACTTCCTCAAATAACACACATGGAAAGTGTTATGAATTCCATTCAGTTCTTCTGGTAGTTCGAGCTTGTAAGCTTGGTTCCCAATCCTCTGAAGAACTTTAAACGGTCCAATAAACCTTGGACTTAACTTTCCCCTTTTTCCAAATCTTATAAGTCCCTTCCACGGCGAGACTTTAAGCAAAACCGAATCTCCAACTTCAAAAGTCATCGGTCTTCGCTTTTTGTCAGCATAACTCTTTTGACGATCCTGAGCTGCTAACATTCTCTCCCTAATTATTTTCAACTTTTCAGCAGTTTGATGGACTATCTCCGGCCCCATAAACTGCTTTTCCCCAGCCTCAAGCCAACAAGACGGCGTACGACACTTCTGTCCATACAAGGCTTGATAAGGTGCCATCTTTATGCTCGAGTGAAAACTATTATTATAGGAAAATTCTACCAAAGGTAAATGTTCATCCCAATTACCTAGGAATTCCAAGGTACACGCTCTCAACATATCTTCAAGTGTTTGTATCGTCCGTTCGCTCTGACCATCAGTCTGCGGATGGTAAGCTGTACTTAAACACAACTTGGTACCCAATTCCTCTTGTAGACTTTTCCAAAATCTTGAGGTGAAACGACTATCACGATCCGACACAATTGTTAGCGGAACACCGTGAAGTCTCACAATTTCCTTCACATAAGAATTCGCAAGCTTTTCCATAGACCATTTCTCATTGGCTGCTATGAAATGCGCACTCTTAGTGAATCGATCGACGACCACCCAAATCATGTCGTGACCATTCTTTGTTCTGGGCAGTTTAGTGACAAAATCCATAGTAATGTCTTCCCACTTACCCATAGGCACAGGCAATGGTTCTAAACTCCCGTACGGTTTCTGATGTTGTGCCTTGACTCTTGCACAAGTCACACACTCGGCCACATACTTCGCAATGTCGAGCTTCATCGTCGGCCACCAATAATAGGGTTTCAGGTCCCTATACATTTTAGTGCTACCGGGATGAATTGAGTACATGGTCTTGTGAGCTTCTTCCATCAGAAGATCTCTGACTCCTCCTGTCTTAGGTATCCAAATCCGATCTTGGAACACCTTCAGTCCGTGACTGTTTACACCGAACACCAACGTTTTGCCCAAACGTTCCTCCTTCCGGTCATTCTTCTCCGAAGCTTCCTCTTGAGCTTTCTTTATACTTTCTAAAATGGTTGAGACAACTTCAATTCTCAACGCTCTTGGCCTTCGCTTTTCAAGATTGA